CAATATGGAAACACATGCCAAAGTAAGCATGACCAAAGAAAAGCAATTAGCAAGTATTCCAAAGAAAATTTTTATTACGAAGAAAAGTTCTTTATCTGCAATTGTAAACTTAAATGCTAAGTGAACCAGAAATCGTGAAATCCCGAAACAATTTACACATATTTGACCATGACTCTGATATTATAGAAATTAATATTCGATAAAAACATTATGCTGACACAATCATAATACTATCGTTTTTTTCAGTACAAAAAAACCATATTTATAAAATTATTTGATCATATTTGACTAAAATTAGATGCACATATAAAAATTAGCTAACATCATTTTTTCTAATTCCTTTTACTGAAAGTGAAGTAACTTGCAGCAAAACCTTTAGGGAAAATGACTACCTCCTTAACTAGCTGGAAGATTAGAAAAATGGCAATGCAAAACAACTTTAGTAAGAGATGCTTCTAATAAACACAATTTTTCAAGCATACATACATTATAAACACAATTATTAATTAAAAAATGATAAAGTTAAGCTTGTAAAAAATTTAGCCAGTTAGAGTCTGAATGATATGTCTTATATTACCATGCATATACCATTTGCATAAGCAAAAAGTTTTAGAAGCGTAATCAGTCAGGTAATTATGCATTTATGTGTCATTTATTTCGAATTTTCCATTCATATATCCAGCAATAAATCTCAGTAAGCATTATATGCATCAAAAGTATAGGTCAATTTGTGTTAATACTCAAACCTCCAAATATACAAGAATAGAAATTTCTGTTTTAGCAATGCAAGCAACAGCCTTATCAACGCAAATCACTCTTTACAAAAGCATTTTTCCAATATTCAGAGGCAAATGAATTAGCACAAGAGAAGCTGTTAGTAGCACAATGTTAGTAATAACACAAGTTAGCATTATATACCATTTTGAAGAATATCTTTCCCCTGGACAAGACTCGGCCCTGGTCATCCAACCAGCGGAACTCATATCGGTCCTCCTCGCGTTCAGAGATTGCTCTTCCTTTGAAAAGGCATTCTCGATGCACAAGGCCTTTGTCTAGCTGTTCTCCAGAGAGAGGACGAGTTTGCAGAGTGTTGTGGCTCTCTACAATGTATGGCGATCTCCGATCATCCGTGGCAGGAGAGTAAGACCGAGCTTATTAGGCAATTTGAAATGAATAGATAGGGATCGGCGGTCTTTTATGCCATTAGTGTAAGTAAATCCCTTGTTCTAGAGGGTATTCCTTGTTTCACACTTGCATGCATTAGTAAACTTATACGGTTCTCGTTTAAAATATGCGATAAATAATTGAATGAATGAAAAGTTAAAGAAATCACCTCATAATATGTGATGGAAAATTCGAAATATTTTTGTATTGAAACCTTTTTCACATTATCACATGGCTTAGAATTAATATTATGGTGCAAAAAGAATGAAAATAATATTCAGAATTTTTTA